AGAGCAGACTTTTGGAATGTGTCCCCACGGGGAAGAAGTGTCCAACCTACTGACCATACATATGGGTGAGTGGGATTCTGTTTCCTGTTCATTTCTCCACCAAGGGAAGAAGGTTGTACTATTAGTGGATCCAGGTAGGGGAAGTACCCAGATATAGAAAGGAGGGAGAGGGTCAGACCCCCTCGAATACCTCAAGAATAGCCAAAAGATGAATAAAATTGCCCTCAAGAGGCCATCTCATTACCCCACAAGTCCACACTAAATTCAAGATGGTGCCTCATGACTGGCTCTGCTTTTGTATTCTGTCCTTACATCACAGTTCCCTGCAGAGGGGAAAGGTGATGAGTGCGTACAAAACAGCACTGTATGAAATTCCCTTTTCCCCACACTTTGAGTGTTGGTAACGACATACATATAAGTATTTCCACAGTCTCAGTCGGGAGTCAGTCTCTATCAGCAGGTTCAACTCCATTTGCAGGGACTCTGGTGGCAAGGAGAGTTTTTGTTCTGACAATCAGAATTCCAGCAAATGTTAAATGTTTCTTCATGCTGAGAAGTGGGAAATTCAATAATACTTTGGCTGGGTTCATGCTGAGTCGTGAAAATAGAATGAATATGGAGAGAGTTTGTGGCTTGAAGAGCCACAAATCAGCCCAGACCTTTCCACTGTTAGCTTTTCATTTGAAGCCCTCTCCTGTCTCTGCTCCTTTCTCCAGGGTAGCAGGACTGTTTTGCTATTTGTTCCTGGGTGTTTGGTGCCATAATTCCTTTATTTACCGTAAGACACAAAATTAAGCACTAAGAGCTCTTAAAAGTACTTCTGTTCCTTTATGTTTTTATAGAAGAATATTGTGTCACAACAAGGCCATTTACTGACACTCTGCTTTGTTAGGATAACACAAAAGGCAAAGTTAGTGTGGTCATTAATGTGCTTGTTTCTGTAATAGTATTATACCTGGACATGTTTTCTCCTGTGAGTTAGAAGTTTCAGAGGGTATTACCAGAATGAAAGCCCTGTGAAGGGAGGATTTCACATCACCAGCATACAGTGAGTGCCTAAGAAGTTTAGGAATAAATATAAATCTGTAGACTGTAAAAAGTATACTCAGCTGTGGGCTTTCTGAGATGTCCAGCACAAAACCCCCCAGAGAAGTCAGCTTAACTGATTTTCCATTAGGTGTGCTTCTGTAGACTAGCTCTAATATGTGATTCTGTAGAAGAAGCTCTGTGTGATATATCTTCTTTCTAAAGAGTAATCCCACTAGAGCCTGATCACAGAAAAATTAGAAAGCATAAACAACCAAAAGCAAAATAAAATAGCCAGAATCATGCTACTCAGAGATGACCACTGCTTTGATTTAAATGTTTTTCTTCCAGATTTTTCTACACATATGAATATATTTTATAGCCCTGGGGTTAGATTATATTCCGTTTTGTATTAGAATATTACATGAACCTCTATTTGTGTTAGTAAATGTCTGCATAATCTCATAATACCGATGCCACAAATATATTTTAAGAATATACCAGGATCTAATCTATTCCTGGTGATTGTACATTTTAGTTCCATTTAATTATCTTCCTCTGGGGCTGGGGATTTAGCTCAGTGGTTTGGTGGCCTGCCTTGTAAGCACAAGGACCCGAGTTCAATCCCCGGTACCAAAAAAAAAAAAAAAAAAAAAAAAAAATCTGCCTCTTCATAAACATCATGTGTTTCCCTATTCCTGAGTTGCTGGCAAGTTTTTCACAAGAGAGGCCTCAGTGACTTAACATATGTGTCCTCAGTCTTGAGCCTGCAAGCCAACCCACCTTCATATCCTCCTTTGCTGGCTCTGTAGGTGAGGGTGAGAGCTGGTGTCCCAGCAGTGCTCAGTGCCAGCTCTTTTCCCGTGCTTGACAGGTTTATCTAGTTATTATACCTATTTTGATTCTGATGATAATTCACTTGGCTGGTTTGTAGCCTTTACTCACTTACCAAACACTTCTGAGCGGAACCAAGGAGTCATGCATGACAGCTAGGAGCAGAAAGAAGAAGGAGGGAGGAAGAACTAATCAGTACTTTACCTTCTTTACAGGACTGCAGGTTAGATGATGTACGCAATTACTTGTTTTTAGTATCTGAAGCCCATGTTTCACTCACACTTGCTCTGTTGTCACCTCGTGTCATTTTGCTGTGCCAAAATCCTATCCAGGATGACACAGTACGTGTCGTCACCAAGTCTCCAGTAGGCTTTTTGGCTCTGTTTCTCAGATTTCTCTATTTTCTCATTATTAGAATGGGGTCATATAGTTTTTGGAGGGAAACCACTGGTAAATTTCTCTTTTTATCACAAAGTACTAACTTGAATCACATAATAACAAGGGTGCTTACTGCCGACGTGACTTACTGATATTTTGTCAACTTTGATCTTCTGGGAAAGGTTATACTTATTAGATTTCTTTACTATGGAACTGTGCTCTTGTCCCCTTTCTAGACTTATACTCTACAAAATGTTATTATGTCCAGCCCAGATTATAGTGTCTTCCTACTCAAAAGTAATATATTTATATCAATTATTTGTAAATTTGTATAGATCTATTTTCACAATTATTTACTTTTTCAATCACTTATTCCTGTATTTTGGTTTGTACTCTGAAGCTGTTATTCATCTGTTGCTCAAGTTATTTCAACTTTGGCATTTTGCTAGATATTTCATTTGGAACTCCTTTGTCTCTTATTGTTTGCTAGTTTTCCAGCGCTTTTTAAATTTAGGGTTCTATAGCATACTCTTAAGTGTATCTTGTGTATTTTGTTCCCTGGCCCTACAATTGCTCCTCGGATCCTTGCCTCATTTCACTGGAGACTATTTCAGAAGTCCGTATCTACACACTAGGTGCTGCTCAGGCTTTTAGGTCTTTATTACTTCATTGCTCTAGTCCCTGTTACCTGATAAAACAAGAAAATATATATGGTATCCTAACCCAGGTAAATGAGTGTATCTATAAAATCTGTGTCTCTGTTAAGCTACAGATGGATATACATTGATGACCCAAGTCCAGTCCATTACTAGAGGGATCATTCTAGCCTTCTCCTTTATTTTTAAATTCCCATACCAATATTTCTTTCCACTTGCTCTCCACTTTTTATGATTGTTCAATTCCAGATATACATAGAGTTGTGTTAGAATTCTCAACCTATACCTATAAAAGAAACAATTTTGTCAACTAAAATACAGTGCATGTGTATGCCTTTTTTTGGCTTTTGGTTTGGTTTTTTTAAAAAAAAAACAGATTTCAGCTCATATCCAGAGGGACTAGGGTTAGCATCTTACTTTCCGTCCTCTTCAGTGAATTTGTTTCTTACATTTGCAATGCAATCACATCGATTTTCTGTATTTTGTGTTCCATTCTGGGATTTCCCTGGCCTCCTACTTTTTTTTCTTTAATTTTCACACATTACGGATCATTCCTTGTGCCGTAAAGTTCTATGGGCTTTGACAACTTCATACAGTCATTTATCGACCTGTGTCATAATAGCATATGTAACATTTTCACTGCCCTGCTTCACCTAATCAACCCTCTCTCCAATCCTCTGACACTCACTGCTCTTTTAATCATCTTTATAGTTTTTTGTCCTTTTAAGAGCATCATATAAATGGAATTATATGGTATGTCGCCTTTTCGCACTGATTACTTTCATTTAAAATATGTATTTAGGATTCATCCATCTCTTTGGTTTGATAATTTAATTTTTTTATTATTAAATAAGTTTCCATTGTATGGGTGTACTACAATTTATTTATCCATTAACCTACTGAAGAACATCTTGGTAGTTTCCAGTTTGGGGTACTTATGAATAAAAATTCATTTGCAAGTTTTTATGTGTACAGTGTTTTCACACCATTGGGTTATTGTTACATTATATGGTAAGATTGTCTAGCTTCATAAGAAACTGTCAAAAACTATTTTCCAAAGTGGTGTGCCACTGTGCTTGGTACAAAGTGGGGGGTTCTTTTTGCTCGAGATCAGTGGTGGCAAACCGATGGCACGTGTGCTGCAAGTGGGCATGCAGAGCCCTCTCTGTCCCAGAGTGAGGCAGGTCGCTCCAGAAACTGACCACAGTTGTTTTTTCTAAACTAAAATGTCAGAATTCATGTTTAATTGCTGATACATAAGTGGGTTTCGGGCATAGTTTGTGCACCACCACCCCCCATTTTGTACTGGGGATGGAACTTGGGACCTTTTGCTTGCCAGGCAAGTGGCAGAAGAACTGAGCTAAATCCCTGGCCCCTGCACTATGTCTTTTAACAGGTTCACTGTTACTACTTTAGATCCTTGCCAGCAGTTGCCATTGTCATTGGATTTTACCTTTGCAAAGGAGTATGAAGTCGAATATCACTGTCATTTCACCTTGCAACTTCTTAGTAATAAAAACTTCAGCATCTTTTCTGTCCTTATTTGACATGTACATATCTTCTCTGGTGAGAAGTCTGTTCAGATCTTTCGCCCATTTTTCAATTGGTTTCTTTTGTTCAGTTTTAAGAATTCCTTTTATACTTTGAATATAAGACCTTTATATGAATTTGAAAATATTTTCTAGGATTTATTTTTAATCAACTGTCAGTTGATAATTAATTTTTAATACAACATCACTTTCTAGCCCTAGCTAAATGTTGTCAGTGATATTGCTCTGTCCACCTTATTTCCTTTGTTGTTTCCCAAAATGATCCTAAGGTGCCCTCTCACTTTCTTAATCCAGCCATTCATCATCAAAGACTGTTTATGCCCTGGGATCATCCATGTCTACTCTAGGGATTTCTTGTCTTTATTTAGTCAGTGATCAAGTTGATAATTTGTTTTATATGTATGCAGTAAGCTTCCCAGTAAGAATCCAACCCTGTTTGTTTTCTGACTTGAAGGGGGAAAAAAAGCAAGTCAAGAAAAGTCGGCCACAATATGTAGGTAATGTCATTTCATCGGTGAAGCTAATGGTTCTCTGTCTTCCTTTCTGTGGCTTCCAGTTATCAAGCCTCCTTTGCGTCATTTTAAACGCCCTGCTTACGCATCTAGCTCCTATGCACCTTTGGTTCCAAAGAAAACTGATGAGCATCCTGCAAGGTACAAGATGCTGGATCAGAGGATCAAAATGAAAAAGATTCAGAACATCTCACATAACTGGAACAGAAAATAGGTCAAAGGGAAGAAGCAAAAGAGTGAAGGAGGGTCCGCCTGTCAGCCTGTCAGCGCTCAACAGCCACAGCAATATGCCCCTCCCTGCCCATGGAGGTCTTCGGAGCTGCTACTAACATATTTGACTCCAAGATGAAAGCTATGTGATAATTCCCCCCACCCCCACCTTTTCTCTTATAGACTTAGCAATCACTGGATTTTGACATCAGTCTGGATTCCAACAACAAACTAGTAAAAGTATTTGTTTCCTGTGGCTTATTATATAGGTCTTTCAAAGTTTAGGTTGGACCAAAATTAAAATAAGACAGTCTGCTCAGAGAAAACAACCCCCACCCCTCTTGGCATTTTAAAAAATCTCTAAGTAGACTTACCCTAGTAGTGACACTGTTTTATTAATCACTATATTTTAAAAATTTACTTTAAAAACATCTTTTCCAATTTACATACACTTATTTAGAATTTAAATACACTTACTTAAAATTCAAGTAAATATGTTGCTTTCAAAGTAAATGTATTCAAAACTAAAGTTTTGGTTCTGAATATAACAATCTTATTGGGAAAAGAGAACTATGAATTCTTGGTTCATGGATATTTCAGAGTTCAGGCTTACAAAGTAATTCCCAGTTAAAGAAAAAAAAGACATTTTTGACTTCTAACCAAGTGTCATAACCAATAACCTTAGTGTATTTTAAAGAACTTCAGGAGATTTATTTGGCTTAGTTTTCTTCTAATTTTTATTTCTGCCATAGCAGAAGATGCTAGAAATCAATGGGCTACCCATGTTTTAAAGACTTCAGGTTTGAGATTCACCACAAGGCATGTTGGCCTCGGTTCTGGGATCCTGGGTCAGGAGGTTATAAAATGATGAATCTAGTTTTAATTTCTTATTTCCAGATTTTTCTCTGTAAGTCTAGATACTCCTTTACAGATGATCTTTCCAATAAGCCACATAACAGAAACCCTTTTGGATACCAGTTGCTTTTGATGGGACAAAAGGCTTTGAAACTCACTTCACTTCATAGTGACACTTTTAGCTTTTCTGTGTCTCTCACTAGAGCTTTTACTTTAGGATAAAAATCACAGAACTGGCAAGAAAATGCTCAAGGCCAGAGACAGCTTTCAGGTTTGAGCTGCAGCCTGTAATGCATAACTAGTTGAAGGCCCTTGGTCTATTGGCAAAACCTGCAAACAGTAGGTGTACAACAGAAGTAGTTAAAAGCATCCCATATTCAGAACAAACTTTCCAGGAAAGTCCCACGAAGAAGGAGCTGTCCTGATGGCCACCACCTTTCGGACTTGCCTGTGTAAGGTTTGCTGTCTCCTTCTCTCATTCTCCATAATTCATTTCCAGTAAACTGCAGTTATCCCAGCTGAGCCACCTCAAATTTAGTGACAATTGTGCTGCTAAGCAATTTACTCAAAATATGCATTATGATGGTGTTGCAGGGAAATATAATTGCTGCACAAACAGAAAATCACGATGATTTTCATTTCATTTCTTAGCTCCCTGCCTCGTGTCTGGGCAGGGACAGCCTTCTGAAGGCCAGTAGTTTCTAGTTACCTAGATTAGGGTAAGTGAACAGGTGACTCCTACCTGTTTGTACACAGATGTTTTTTAGTGCTGGCTGCACAGAGCCATTTAGATACCCAATGAGGGGGCTTCCTGGATGTTTTTTTATCTCACGCTCAACACCTCCAGCCTTAGATTCAGACTTCACTCTGGCTGTGCTTTCTTAATTGTGCTCCTAGATGTTAGAAGCCAAGTTTCTGGAGAAGAGAGTTTCTTTGGTATTCCCTTCTCCCAAGATGTTATTTTTCAAAATTTGCCAATATTTTAGTTAAGCAAATGTACAGACGTTGAGATTCTGCACTGCTTGTAAAATTACTACCATGTTTTTGCATGATGAATTGTATAGAAATGCAGATTATATTCCTACAGCAAATAAAAGATGCTTTTAAAGGATATTCTTGTGTGTGAGTCATCTTTTTCTTCTTTGACATTCTGGCATTAATTTTTAAAAGTTAGAAATCCCCCAAAGTTTGTCACCGTTCAGCCCTGAATATATTGTCAAGGTGAATAGTATAACTTACCCTTTTCAAATTGTGTCATGATTGTACAGGTAATAGCTTTTTAAAAATAACTCTTCTCTAGGGATCCAACAAATTAATTTTTTTTGATACCAGTGATCGAACTCAGGTCTTTGCGCTTGGGAGGCAGGCAGCGGAACCACTGAGCTAAATCCCCAGCCCCTAAATTAATTTGTTAATTTGAGTAACCACAGAATAGGGTAGGCATCAGTAGGCAGTGCCCAGCATAATCTGTATAGTAAGGGCTCAGTAAAGCGGAGTTAATACTCTATGCATAACCTGTGTGCCTGTCCCTATAGGCACCAGTTTTTGTGTCTCCCTGCACTGGAGGCCTCAATGAGCTCTTATGTTCAATGGAAGCTCTAACATCCTCACCCTCAGCCCTCCCTTCCGCTGTCCTTCATCTGTTCCTGTTCACCCAGTTCACTCCCCATACCCGACTGCTTAGTCCTTTCAAAGTTTCCCCTGCACAGATGTACTGCACAGGACAGACTGTCTCTGAAGGAGCAAAGTGATGGTACAGTGGGAACAACAATTTAAATTAAAATTAGACAACAATAACAACAATACAATGTCAGTCTGTGTGGAAGGCTTCTTGCTGACTATGATTTCTTTATGCACACATTTACCTTGATTTTCTTGATCTTTCTCCTTCTGCACTGAACTTTAAACCCCTGTGAACATACAAAGAAGTGCATTTATCACTCACTCACACCAATAAAGTTGGCAATGGTCTCCCCAAACAATGAGCATTTTACTTGTGTTTTACTTTTTTGAACACAGACAACTCAGAGAAGTTTCACAACTCAGAGAAGCTTCATAATTTTCTCTTGAACATAAACTGATTCTCAGTAAGACCAGTACCTGTAAGAAAGGTGTAGTATAAATATGTCTTCCTCTATTCTTCCACCAATCTCTCACCACAATAATCTGTAGAAGCTTTGGCTGCTTATTAGTTTTCTCCATCTATTTTTAATGCTAACTTCATAAGCATAGAACTGTGACTCTCATTATGGGTGCTCAGAGAATGCTAACACTCTTCTCTTCCCATAAGCCAGGTCAGCTTTATCATGGATATATTCACTCAGCTTCTGAAATAAGAAAAGCACTCCTATTGAGCCGATGTCCAATTTCCACTTAGGATGGACAGAAAAGATAGGAATAGTTGATAATACTATTTTTTTTTTAAGTCTAGGGTTTCCATCCAAATGCTTTTTCCTAAGATAAATGGAAGCCACTTATGTAACCACATGGTTGAATTTGTTTTCCCATTTGCTACCAACCTCACTGGATCAATTATATTCTCGTTGATCCACTTCCAACTGAAAAGATTCTATTGGGTCATTATCTTGGTTTATTGAGCGTCTGTCAAAGGAAAGAAGTGAATATTTTATAGGGCTGGGGTTTGGGGGCTAGTAAAACATTGATGACTTAGTTTCCAAGTTTGATATTGACATTGTTCCCAATAAACAGCAAAGGCAGCTGAGACAAGAGAAAGTCCTATGGTATGATAGTGAAAAGTGAGCTGGTTGGTGATAAGCAGTTTTAAGACTGGTCTAGGAGAATTATGAGTATTCATTACCTTTTTTGTTATAGGTAAAGGACATGAAAAGCTGCTTCTAGGAACTAACAGGCACTGATAACTATGGATACTCTCCTCTTAGGCACACATGGTTCAACTGGGATTCTTTGAGAATTTTCTAAATTGTCCATGGCATGCTTTGTTTCATACACCTAACTAAGATGTTCAGCTGACCTGACCTTATAGAGACACTTCATCTGAAAATCAGCCATTATGGAAGTAATACATTTATGGCCATTACCCCTTTAGCAATATCTCTTACGACTTGCTGCTTAAAAGAAGAGTTTAAACTTTAAAGCACAATGGTAAAAAGATACTAAAAAATAACCATATAGACAAATATGTCCAGTCAAAGCAACTAAAAATTTGAAATTATAGAACACTAGCACAATAGATTTTAAAATACATTTCATATTTCTGAGTACCTACCAAGTTAAGTATATTTAATTCTTATAGGAGGACCTGTGTGAGAAGACTTATTATTAATAAATTGAGGCTGAGATATTTCACTGCTGCATATTTTTCCACACACTGCATTACTCCCTCTTTGTTTACCTTGTTCACTAACATTATTGGAAGCCCTATTTCTTCTCCTTGAAATTATCTTCCACCACTGAGCCTTTTTTATTACCAAAGTATGCTTACATTTGACTTTTGTAGAAAGTCAGCAGCAAAACTAATTAAAACACCCAAAGGACGGATATTTGAATTGCCAAAATATCTTGTTACGTAGGCCCATTCTTCTCAAACTTTCTGAAGCTTTTTGTAAGGTTGACCAGTCATTTCATTTAGAACCCCCTTCCCATTTTCCTGTGAGCACTGCATTTTCCTGATTTGTCTTTTACCTTTCCTTCTCTATTTTGCTGGTTTCTACCACTTTTTTTTTTTTTTTTTTTTTTTTTACTCACAAGGATTTTCTCCAAGATCACACCATCAGCTTCTTTCTTTCTCAAACTTATTTTCACAAACTATTTTAATTACCAACTCTATCAGCTTAACTTCTAAATCTATAAGCCTGACCTTGTCACTTTCTCAGTCCTCTTATGTGCACTGCCAACTGTTGGTGAGACTTCTTTTCTGTGCATTTAGGTACTATGAACTTCATTTCCAAATCCCATACTGTCCTCTTCCTGATGCCTTTATTTTTGACATCACTTTACAATTTTCTGCTTCTCAAAGTCACCGACCTTTTATTTCTCCAAATCACACTTGTCACAGATTCTTCTCTGGAATTCTGGGACCAACTCTAGGTTACTTCATTAGGGTTTATGACCTTCCATTTCAAGGGATAATATTCCCTCCCATATCATCTCTTCTTAGAAGCAGAAAACCTACTTCCAAAGATTAGCAGTTAAGGCTTTAATGAAAGAAGTGTGAAAAACAATTTTGCCAGCCAGGTATGGTGGCACAGACCTGTAATTCTAACATTCTGGGAGGCTAAGGCAGGAGCATTGAAAGTTGAAGCCCAGCCTGAGCAATTTAGCAAGACCCTGTCTCACAATAAAACAATTGAAAAGAGCTGAGGAGGTAACTATGTAAGAAATCCCTGAGTTCAACCTCCAGTAGCAAATAAAGGAATGAGTTTTCCGATGTGTGTGCTATCCCTGTTGCGAAAGTCTACCCACCCATGTCTCACCCAGTGGTCTTCTCACAGATGGAGACTGAGCTTCTTCCCACAAGCACTGAAGAGTTTACAGAAACATCTGGGTATTCTGTTGATACACATCTTGCAGCCTGCTGCTCTCCCTCTACACTCAACATTAGAAGATTAAATGATGCCAAAACATTTGAATTTAAGTATCGTATTGTGAACCGTAAAGGCACGTGGATATCACTGGACTGCTCAATGAACAAATTTGTTGCTAATATATTAATTGTGGACTTTTCCAGAGGAAGAAGTTCCTCGTGAAGAGACGTGAGCCCTATTTCACACCTCTTTCAACCATCCATCACCTATCCTAGTTTTTGACTGAGTTTTGTGACTGAGCCAGCAGCTCGCTTCTCATTTCAGTAAACATGATTCGATTGTTTCTGAAATTCTTTCTGCATGATTTCTTCCTGTGAGAGTCTTAGTTATTCTCCAAGGCCCAGCAGCACATTGCATCTTCGCTAGGCTGTGGGTTTTGTCCTCATCAAGTAAAACTGGTGTTTTGCTTTGATTAATTTTCATAAAGCTTTATTTTTACATCTTTGTGGCACTTACTCATTCTACCTCAAATTGCGTAGATCTTAATTCTTCCCTACTGTGTTGTCATTTCCTGAAAGCACAGACCATCCTGTTTCTTTTCTATATTTGTATCTTCTGTACTGATCGATATAGTGCTTTATATAAAACAAATCCCTGAAAACAGTGGGTATAAATGGGATCAAACAGGAGTAACAAAGAGACAGGAAATGAGTAAACATGTGAAAAACATCACCATTCCTCATCTCTTATTTAGGGCAGAATATCACGTGTGCTTCTCACCAAATCCCGAAATAGCCTCACAAGCTTTATTAACACAGAAGTCCGGCATATTGGTCCCATTGCACTGAAGTTTGAATTCTGCTGCAATCAGCATCCCTGGGCCAAGAGAGAACCCACTGTTGCCCTTCTCTTAGGGCTGTTATACTGGTTAAATATCTTTTCATATGTTGAAGTCTCAATTGACTAAAAAAAAATGGATGTTTGTCATTTTATTTAACATACTACCATCTTTGTCTTTAAAAATGCTACTTTGCTCCTCATATATGTTTACTTAAATTTTTAAGACTCAACATTTCTAGAGAAGAAAAGAATAGAGCTCCAGTCCTCAGAGCCTCAGCCTTAAAAAATAGATATTCTTTTTTTTTTTTTTTTTTTTTGGTACCGGGGATTGAATCAGGTCCTTGCACTTGCAAGACAGGCCACCGAACCGCTGAGCTAAATCTCTGGCCCTAGATATTCTATTTAGACCTTACTTCTCCACACGCATTAACGCTTGGAAGCTTCACAATAATCCAGAATGTTGGAAACAGAATACAGAGCCACAGTGTGATCTCTATTTCCTAAAATAGACTGAAAATGCCTTGGGGGATGTTGGGGTTAGAGAGCAGCACAGTCCCTATTTTAGGTGAGCAGCCTCCCATCTAAGAAGAATTTGAATCAGTAAGCCAAATAAAGCAGGATTCAGATGAAAGGAATTATGTCTTACTCATTTCAGGGAATGAGGTTGAAGCCACAATGATTTGGTGGCGCAAGGAC